CGAAAGTCTTTTACTGCAGTGAAAAGATTGGCAGTTTCAAAACCTATTGCTAACTCAGAAATGATCCCTAAGATTGCCCGGCCAGCGTTCTTGTACATATGCTTGGCAGGATGTGCATGCCATGAAATGATTCTGCGAAAGCATGAATGTCCAGTTTTGGTACACATGTGCTTCACAGCACCAGTCGCGTCGAAGCATTTTGCTTTAATCGTGCAGTATGCATAAGGCAACGTGAAGTTACGCCAGCGGTCGCGGGAAGCAAATCTTTTCAGGTGTAGGGGCAACAGATTCAAGTGTAACTGCCGGTATTCTTCACAAATCGATTGTGCATCACCATGAACAGGTTGCCAGTGCAACGGGTCTTGACGGAACATCCAGAAACACCATCTCTCATAGACGGGGACAGGCATGGACCAGGCAGCATGCTTATCCTTATCCTCTTGCACCAGCACTTCGGACGAGGAGTGGCATGGAAACTTGGCACAATAGGCAGAGTACAACCTGGGAGGCAGCTTTGAACTACATACTGTCGGGAGTACGCGTGCGCAAAATGCGAGCGGAGGGTTACACCGCATCTTACTGGCAAGCCAACGCACCGTCTGCGAAGCCTCCTGCATCAAAGCCTCGTGTGTCTGCCATACAGGGACCTTCCAATGCAGTTTAAACCTATGCATCTGACGGCATTCAGCGGATGACGGCTTCAGTTTGTGAAGCGGACAGACAGCGAGACCGCTGTTGAATCTTTGTGCAACTTGGATGTAGCGCCAGCGGTCAGCAAACGTGCGTCTCTTGGCTTTGACGGGTTGCAACAGGGAAGCGAACCATAAGCCGTGAACATTGGCATTCAAGCGAGCTTCGGATTGCAAGAGCTGCACAACTTGCCGGAAGACCCAGAGCGGGATCCCTGCCGTCCAGGAGACACAAATCCGTCTGAGAGGAGCAAGGCCGAAACTCACAAGATGCAAGGACACACGTTTTTGAGCCCGTAGTTTTGCACTGCAGGGCGGCATGGCCCGAACGCACTTGGCAAGGTGAACTGCGCATGCAGCCTCTGGTTGCGACATGGCAAAGGGACACACAGACTTGAGACGCTGCTGTAAACTATCCCAACACGGATCCTTCGTGTCTGCGATGTAACGCGACAGCAAACCCGACATATCTGCCCTCACAATATCAATCGGTCCGAAGCCTAAGCCCGACAACAGCATGTTTTGAAGGGCAGTCCTATACCCAACCGAAAAACCGACCTTGTACAGAACATGTCGTTGAATCTGCATGGGGTTTTCTTGCAGCGAGCATGCTCGTGCATGTAGGCGGTGTTGGGCACGATGCCACAAGTCAAACCGAACGGTGTGCGCATGAACAATCTCTGACCAGAAAACCCTGCGGCGAGGACGTGTGCGGTTCCTGCGTGAAGCACAAGAGCGCCGAGCTTTTTGAACAGACTTCATGCCAATAGATTTGCTGTTGCCCTGCTGTTGAAAACATGCTATGCTCGCGTCTTCCAAGGCCCGAATGTAGGTTTCGGGTCCTTGAGCAAGCACCCAAAACATGTGGTCAGAAAGCCTGACATGACGAAACAAACGACATTTCTGTCTGAGGACAGGAGGGCCGGCATCAGCTGGCGCTTGCAGACACGCGTGTTCAAGCACATGCTGGTAAGCACGGTTCACAGGCGAAGAACCCTGGCAACGATGTCGCTGAACCCCAAACTTAGTCGACCCGACATAGTTGACATGGGGCGAGGATAGCTGGTACAGAACGGCTGCATCAGGTTGCTCGCAGATGCCTGCGAAGGCTTGCAGACTGACAAATTGGACAAACGCTGTCTTCAACATCACCGACCAACCTTTACTCCCAAGCAAAGCTTCGAACACATCGGGCGGGAGACCCAAACATCGTTTAACGGCTCGGCGACGTTTTCTGCAGCCACCAAGAGCCTGCCACGCAGTAATGAGCACAAGCTTCAAGCTACCGCAAGCAAGGAACAGAAGGTCCGTCGACAAGGAAGTCGACCGCTTGGTACGCAGAGAAGGCGGAAAGATCCAAAAGCACAGCGCTTCCAACACAACGTTCAAGCTTTGAATGTGCTCCCAAGTAACAGAATGCGTCTCAACTAACTGCCCAACGCATGCAGCGACACGCAGAAGCATGTCCAAGATTTTTGCGTCATGTGGCCTGGTAGCACACGCAGGTTTTGCAAGTCTCAAGTCTGCCATCCACTGTTGGACCTCAGAGTGGGGCAGTTCAAGACCATCACACCATGCAGCAAGGCCTGACAAGATGCGCAAAATCATGTCGCCTTGAGACAACGACGCAAGGTTCGACCCAACAAACTCGACACGACAAGGAGCACAGCGAGAAGACTTTGCAGGCAACTCGTGAGCAACAAGCCTTGAAGACACGCATTCCGCACTTGACAAGGATTGCCGGGCAGGGTGGCGGCCCAACCTGCGAGGACACAGCAACAGAAGCAGCAAATGCCACAAGCGCATCTGCAATTGGCGAGTCACACGAACGAGCACCCACCGACGCAATCTCTTCATGACCATGTGTCTCAAAGTACGTGTCTTAGGGCGCTTGCGTTTGCGCTTGCGATGCGAAAAAGTCCAACTAACAGAAGGAATATGGAATGAATTTAACTGACGAGTGTTA